TTGCCTCAAGAGGGGCAAACTGGGTTACCTAGCTCTAGCCTGGATGGTCAAAAGCCCTCTGCCAACCCCACTGAGCCTCCGTTTCCTCATCTGTAAAATAAAGAACAATGGCAACTACCTCACAGTTGATGACAGGGGCTAAGTGAGAAATGAATATCAGTAAGATGCTTCCCCATGGCCCAGTTGGATGCCCAAATATGGTGGCTGTCAATATTACCATTTAAAATACATAAATAATAATGACCTGTTCAATAGAGAATGGCAGTGAGCTCAATGTCATTTTTAGTCCTCCTATACATCACTCACCCATAATTTCTGAACCACAAAGTCTTTTTCTCACAAGTGTAAAATCCCTAATGTTATATGGCACAGCCTATGCTGGGACTCCAAGGCTCAAATCAATAGCAATGCATCAGCGAAGCCAGTCAGGGACCCCTCCAGCCCTAGGCAGCTCATGGGGTGCTGCCTTTGTCATGCTTAGTCGTAGAGAGCCACAACACCCAGGGGCAGCATACGCATGTTCACCCTACCTGGCCGAGACATTGGTGAAGTGCATGTACGATGATATCACCACTCCTATGCGTCCTTTCCCGCCCTGCAGGAGACAAAACAGAACTGAGTTGCTTCTGGGTCCGACAGTGTCAACAGTACTGGAAAATGCTCACGTGCTGAAAGGGGCAATAAGGAGTTTGTTGTGGGCCAAGAATCAGCAGTGAGAATGTGCTCACAGCAGGCAAAGGGCAGAGTCCAGAGGACAGAGAGACACAGCACAGCAGCAGACAGTAATTTCACCATTCCCCAATTAGAGCAGTAGAAACGATCCCTGGGGCAGCAGCAATTAGCATGTCTTAATTAGCCAGGTTTCCATGTTACCCGCGTGTTACCCCTTGGTTTTCAGTAGCCAATTCCTCAAAAGCAGATAGCCTATGCCTTGTTGGTCTCACACACTTGGGACATGCTGTCAGGAGAGATCAGTCCCGGGAGAAGGACATCATGCTCGGTTAAAAAAAAAAAAAGAGGGGGGCAGTGAAAGAGGGGGAGGCCCTTGAGGGGATGGACCGACACAGCATCTACCACAATGGGCTCCGGCAAGGGCTCCTGTAAGGACAGCCCAGGACCAGGTAGGGTTTGCTTCTGTTGTGCATGGGGCCGTGTGAGTCGAAATTGCCTCGACGGCACCCAACAACAGCATCACAATCAGCCAGGTGGCACGTAACTGAATACCCTCTCTGCGGGGTGACTGCACACCAGCTCAAGGTGCCCAGTAGCAACTGGCACCCGTTGATGCCCCTAACAGCACCAGCTCACCGGTAGGATGAGGTTCATTGCACAGGTGCACGGTATGGAGAGGGGATTAGTGTACATCCACAGACCTTCTGCAGGCTAAATAAGGCCACTGACACCAGTACCATGGGGAACATTGCCACTGCAGACTAATGCCACGCAGAACCACTGTAACCATACGGCAAGGCACCCTCACCCAGAACATACTGCCAGGACCTGAAACTATGGGCGGCGAATTATCACCTATGAGCTAAGAATTGTTTTTATCTGTCTTCATGGTTAATATATATATATTCTTTGTAATAAATATATGAAATTCAACTTTTTGTGTGGCAAACTGCATACCCATTAATAATGTACATTGCCCAAGACTGCTTTTGTGGTATTGTGGCTGAGCAGGTGTGAAGGAAACCATGTTCCCCCAACAGATCTATTGGCTATCAGCTGTTTAAGAAAAACCTTTTGTATGATCAACGGCTTTTAACATGGGTGCAAAATCCATTCCGTGTGGAAAAGACAGTGTCTTCAACAAACAGTGCTGGTATAACTAGATTTCCACACGCGGAGAAATGAAACAAGATTCATACCACAGACCATATAAAAAACTAATTCAAAGTGGATTAATAACCTACTGCAAAAGCTAAAAATATAAAGTTCTTAGAAGAAAATATAGGAACAATGCTTTGGGGCCTAATGTTTTTCAGTGATAGATTACCAAAAACAGCAAAGAATGTACATGCAGCAGAATACAAAACAGATAACTGGGGCTCTCTAAAAAGTTTTCAAAAGACTATATCAAAAGAAGCGATAACATACACAATTGGGAAAAAAGTATTTTGGAATTATATAGCTGATAAAGGGTCTAATGTCTAAATACACAAATTAAATTAAAATATATTAAAAGCTTCTATAACAATAGCAAAGCAAGACAAATAACCCAATCAAAATCTTGGCAAAGAACAAGCATTTTGACCAAAGATGGTCAACTGATTCATGAAAAGATGCTCAATGTCATTAGTGATTAGACAAATGCAAATGAATAGCACAAAGGAGTTTTAACTAGGCTGGCAAAAGGAGTCATGGCGGTGGCGTGGTTAAGAGTTGGGCAGCTCTGCGGGAGAAAGACTGGGCTTTCTACCCCCACAACCAGTGACGGTCTCAGGAACCCACAAGAGTCAGCACTGACTCGACAGCAGTGAGAGGATGGCCAAGGTCACACACAAGACCCGCACGGAGAGTCACATGGAGGGGAGGTAAAGAAACCGGCATGCCCATTCATTTCAGGTGGGAAGACGACATGGTTCAGTCGCCGTGGAGAGAGTCTGGCAGTTCCTCAAACAACACAGAAGCAGAGCTGCCGGGCTGTTGTTAGATCCCCTCCAGTCAATTCCCACTCACGGAGGTCCCACGTACAATAGACCAGAACACTGTGCTCCCCGTTGTTGCTATGTTAGACTCTATTGAAGCCCGCAATGCCACTCGTGGGCATGTACACCAGGGAATCTAACAGAAATGGCACAAGTAGACCTGTGCATACCTATGCTCACCTTAGCAATAGTCACAACAACAAGATCGATGATAATGAATGCATAATTTTCAATGTGGAACATACATACAACTTTTCCCAGTAATAAAGAAAAGTGACTTCCCAAAATAGCTTGGCATATGGATAAACCTAGAAGACATTATGTTAAGCAAAACAGGCCAATCACCACTGCCCCCCGTTCAAATTTTATGTTCTCACGTTCATAAAATGATAAGGACAAGTTATTGCTGTTTTGATGGTATTGTTGCAGGTGGCACAGTGGTTATGAGCTGGACTGTAAACCACAAAGCCACCAGTTTGAAACCACCAGCGGCTCCTAGGGAAAGGGTGAGGCTTTCTACTCCCCTAAGGTGAGGATTTCTACGCCCTTGAAGAGTTACAGTTTGGGAACCCCACAGGGGCAGTTCTGCCCTGTCCTATAGTGTTGCTACATTTAGGAATCAACTCCATGGCAATGAGTGAGACATGAAAAAGGGTAAGTGGTGATTCAGTGATAGAAGTTCCACCAGTCACAATCCCCCTACTGGGCAAATACCCAGAAGAGGCAAGAAACAAACCAAGGCCAGACATCTGGGCTCCAATGTTCATCACGGCACAGTTCACAATTGCAAGGAGTTGGAAACAACCCAAATTTCCATCAACTGACGAGTGGATTAAAAAGCTGTGGTACATACATACAGTGGAGTACTACGCATCGCTAAAATGCAGTGATGAACATATGAAGCACATCGCTGCATGGGAAGAACTGGAGGAAATCACGCTAAGGAAAGTAAGCCAAGTACAAGTACAACATGAGTCCGCTGAGGGAAAGAGGGACCAGACTTCAACCCAGTGCTCCAAGATGTGAATGCAACATGCCAGTGGAGAGGTCTGAGGGGCCGGCCCCAATTCCAACTACTGCGTAGACACCTGCCCCTTCTCCCAGAAGGATTTATTTGAAAGGACAGCATTGAATCTGCAGCTCCGGGACAGGGACATATCTGATTGGAGCACACAGGAGCAGATGAAGGAGGAGGAGGATAGAGTGGAGCACATCCTGGCCCACCAGGCCTTGAGGACGATGTTCCTGATTAGAGTAGCCAGTCCAGAGAGGACCACATGGCCAGCCCCACTATGAGACATGATGTCCCTCACTGACCCATAGCCCTACAGGGGGCAACACTGGAGACACAGTGTGGGAATTGTGCCCAATCTGATCCCGCCACACTGAGGCAAAACACTAAGGGGATGCAACAGAACAGCAAGGGATCGGAGCAGTGAGGTCCCCAGGGAATGCCGAAGGTGGACTTTGGGGCCAGGGCTTGGTGCCCCAACAGACTAGACTGGAAAACACTCCTAAAGGCCAACAAACAGTCCTTAAACTAACAACAACAAAAAGAATTTCCACTATTCATGTTAGAGACCTGAGTTCACTGGCAGCAAATGCACCTCAAACTCAGCCATCAGTCACGAGAATAAGTAGGCTTGGGCAGTGTTCCTTAACATTGTGTGTGAGGGTAACAATGGGTCAGCGAACTACAAAGCCATATAAATGAACCTTGTTCGCACAAGCAGCATTCTTTTGGACTTGAACAATTTTCACTTGTTTTTAACAAAAATCACAGAATCGCTGAGTCACAAACATTGCTGTGTGTATTCTTCATCATCTACTCAACACAAAAGTGTAACTGGGATGAACTGTCCCAAGAACTGAAGGCTATTGCTGCTGAATCAATAACCAGGTTGGATGGTAGAACAGAGGAGGGCAAACAAACAAAAATAGTATCCTTTTATTAAACACGAGAATGGGAAAATGGGAGAGTGGTGATAGTTACACACCATGGTGAATATAGTGGTTACTAGACTGTTAAAATAGATGGTTAAAATAATTTGATACGGACAGTCTCCTATAATAATGAGGGGGGAGAAGAATATGAATGTGAATTGATTGTGAATGTGAATATGGGGGAATCATTGTTATACTTGCTTCTCAACATGATTCAAGCTATGGCAGGTGCAACTTTGCTAGCAATTTCTGGCACAATGTTAAAAGAAATGCACATTCTGCAAAGCATATGGATTTTGGCCAATGTCAGCAATTTCACCCTCATTGTGATTTATGACAAACTTCTCTTAAGGTTGACATCAGTCACTTTTAAGTTCTTATCTTTCAAAGCATGCTATCTAAGTGTTTCAAAAATGGTTTACATGATACCAGAATAGCGTTAAGTGATGGGCAAATTATTTTTAATCAGTTTCAACAAGTCTCCAATTAATTCCATTAACAAGATTTATCCAGTCAAGCGTTCCTATAGGATAAGAAGCAATTTTGTATATCTCTGTGTGGTAATTTCATCACTTGTGATTTTCTGCTTTAAATTTATCTCATATAAAATTGAAATGAAAAAGAAAAACAGAATGAATACTTCAGAGCAATGCTTCCTAAATTCTGGAGCATAACGGAATTCTCAGAAAACAAAGGACTGGAGCCCATGTGAATCTCGGAGGCGCATGGTCGGATCCCTGAATCTGC